CAAGCTATTTGTTGATACCGAAATGGTAGATTTGTCCAGAATGAGACTAACAGTTACAACATATGGCGCAACAACGAAACTGGTGTCCGCAAGATAAAAAATTATCTGTAGCCGGAATATCAACCGTTTTCGGTATCGTGCAATATATGGGCATAGTCAAGTTGCCTAACCGCCGTATGATGACATACTGAGAACCATGCATTTTTTTGACAATAACAAACTGAAGAAACCAGGAGAGGATGGGTTTTCTAAAACACAGAAAATTCAACCTTTTGCAGACCATATTACAAGAAGATTCAAGGAGGCCGCACTACCTGAAACATATCAAAGTGTTGATGAAATGATGATCGCCTTCAAGGGTCACCATGGCCTGAAGGTGTACATGCCGAAATAACCTGTAAAATGGGGCTATACAATGTGGTCACGTGCTGTGGTTTTTGGTTATGTTTATGATCTAGAAATATGTGGGAGTCCCCGAAGCATAGAGTATAACTTGCCAGGAATCACGAAAAATGGGGAAGTTATTCTCAGGCCATTGCAACCCCTTGCCCCAAATAAGCATAAGCTATATTTTGATAACCTTTTTGCCACACCTGAGTTGCATGTTTATTTGAGGGAAAAGGGTATATTTTCAACGAGTACACTCAATCCAAAACATGTCCAGAAAATGTCCATTGAAGTCAGAAACAGAATTGAAGAGAGATGGTTGTTGGGCGTATGACATGGCAACCAATATAGATGGTTAAGTTGCTTCATGTGGATGGTATGACAATAAGCGTGTTCTTGCCATGAGCAATTATCAGTGGCTAGAGCCAACAGATATACGCAGACAAAGTACAACAGAAAAACTTCCAATTCCTAGACCAGTCATGATTTCTACATACAATATGTTCATGGAAAAAGCAGATATGTGTCTTAGTTTCTATAAAACAAAATGCAGATCTCGCAAATGGCATTTGCGTATTGCTTTCCAACTGCTGAACTTGAGGACAGCAAACGCTTGGTTATTGTACAAAAGCGTAGGCGGTGAAATTAACCTTGTAGAATTCACAACTGAGATTGCAGCAAGTTTGATAAGGGGGCGTGTTTTTGAGGTTGATTTGCTTGAAGATGTCGCACCTGTGAAGGTACATCCTGGGGTTTCTCATTCTATGAGAGACAATCCCAATTCCAAACGCCTTGACCGACATGATCATTGGCCAATGCAATCAGACTCAAAATTGGCCCAGAGATGTAAAATTACTGGTTGCAAAAATCGCACCAGATTCATGTGTACACAATACAAGGCATACTTGTGTGTTATGGGTTCGAACTGCTTCCTTCAATTTCATGGTGGAAGGGTTGTGGAGGTATGGATCGAAAGTTGTGAAACACTGTTGAAATGTGTTGATCTGTACATAAGTTATAAGTTGAAACGTATTTGTAGGATATGAATGAAGTTTTGTTATCAAAAGAATAACATGTTTTGTCTTTCTTTGCTAATGTCTTTTTAGGTTTAAAAGCCTAATGTGCACAAACCAAATTTTTCTATACGTTCCTGATGTACACAGCGAAAGAGTACAGTTATGTAAACTATTCCAATTATCAGCTACTGACACACATTCATATCTGCGAATGGAAAAATATACTTTAATGAAGCCAACTCAATTTGTATCTATCAAAGGTGACGGTAATTGTTTCTTTGGAAGTATATCATATTCTTTAACTGGTAGTGAAGAATTTCATGGTATAATAAGTATAGCTATTGTAGAATACATGAGATCAAACAATCAACATTATGTACTACCACGAAGATGTGCTTCTGTTTCTGATTATATCTGAAAATCAAAAATAATCAAACTAGGAACATGGAGCACTGAAAAGGAAATATTTGCAGCTGTAGATCTCTTGCAAACGGGCATTTATACATTTTCTGATAAGAAATGGCTAAAGATGCCTGTTTTGCAAACAACTATTAAATATAAACCAGAAGCTATCTAAACCACAAAGACGGTAATCATTATGAAGTTGTTAAAAATGTTCAAAGGTGTAATAATGTTGGGAATTATAATCAAATAGATATTGACAAAAACAATACAATCTTGAACACCTACCACAAAAGGTCAGAAAAAGAAACGCAGAGGTCATATTTGGTCACGTAGAAACAGTGAGATTCAATTTGAACACAAAAAAAATACAGAGAAAGGCAGGAAGTAATTATTATTATGGAGGCAGAAGAATGAAACAAATTAATTATCTAAAAAAAAAAGAGAAAACAATTATATAGGCTACATAAGACAGATAAGAAGCTTCAAGAGAAATATCAAATTAGATTTAAGTATCAACTGAAACAAAAATACATATCGTATTTAAAATTTCGACTACGTAAAAGGAAAACTAAAACAGAAATATCTGAATGAATTACAACAAAATATATAAAAGAATTAGTGAAAAAGCTAAAATGCAAATATGCAAATGAATTCAAACTGAAACTTAAACAAAGGTATTTACATGAATTAAAGACGAAATTGAATAAAAAGAAAAGTACAAAGAAATATATAAAGCAAAATTACAACGTAAATATCGAAGAGATATTACATTTAGGAAAATAGCAAAACAAAGGGGTATTCATAAATATAAGGTAGACCTTACGTACAGAACTATGTTAAAGGAATCCAACAAAATTCGAAAAAAGAAGAAATGCTTTAGAAAAATTTAAGAAGGACATTTCCGAAGGACCGATCTATGTATGCTGTGTTTGCAACCGATTATTATTTAAGAATCAAGTTAAAGAATGTAACGAGGAATTATATGGGCAAAAGTCCAAGAGAATTCAAATGGCAGCTAAAAAATGTATAACCAAGACGTACCTTCATGAGTGCACTAACCAATGCCAAGACAGGTGCTCTTATTCTGATAATTATAAATCTCTATGGATATGTTTTACATGCGATAGAAAAATTGTACACGGTAAAATACCAGCAGGGTCTGTTGTTAACAACATGGATCCTGGAGTAATACCTGATGAGCTGAATTGCTTGAATCAATTAGAGAAACATTTAATAGCTAAAAATATAGTTTTTCTTGAAATGATTCAAGCTTCCCCACAAAATGATCAAAAACTGGAGGAACTGTCTGTGTTCCCTCGAACCTAACTCAAATGACAAATGTTTTACCAAGATGCAAAGATAATGATGAAATAATTAGAGTGAAATTAAAGAAGAAATTGTCTCATAAAAGACATTACCAATTCCAAATAATTACAAAAAACACAATAATAATCATTATTTCGGTGTTATTTTGATTAAAGAATGGATAGAAGAACATGATCATAATTTATCTGTACTCGATAACTTGATACAACTTCTAATGCTACAGTATCAGATTTGGACTTAGTGGATGAAAACATTGGAAGATATACATGTGATACAAATGGAAGCTCTTGCTTACAACCTGTTGATGTATTTACAAACATTTTAAATAATGCTGATAAAATAGTTTCTATATCTCCAGCTGAAAATAATAGACCAGTAAGAATTTTAATGGATAAAACAAACGAAGCATGTACCTTTCCTTATCTCTTTCGAAAAGGCAAAAACACATTTTCCGAAAATCGTGATATACGCATTACACTAGGAAAATATTTAAAAAATCGATTGATGTCAGCTGATAAGCGTTCTGCAGCCTGTACAGAATATTTATTCTATGCTCAATATATTTATGAACTTCATCAGATCTTATCAGGCACATTAATTGCTTTAATATGGGAGGTAATTTAATCACGGCAGATACGTTAACTCATGATGAACCATTACAGAATATAATACGATCAGATATAATATTTACTTTGATGAAAAAATGCACAGGAAGTCCAGCATTTTGGCAAGCAACGCAAAAAGACTTATTTGCTATGATTAGGCAACTTGGTATACCAACATTTTCCTTGTCTTTTTCATTTTCAGAACTAAGGTTTGAATCATTTTTAACTACTACTATACTACGACAACAAGGTTCTAATGTACAGGTTAAAGATTTGAAATGGTTACAAAAGCTGAATTATTGAGAACGAATCCAGTGACCATAACAAGGCTTTTTGATGAAAGATTTAAATGGTTTCTTAAAACAATACTACTAGATTTGAATGTGATCGGTAAAGTTGTGGGTTATTTTTTTCGATCAGAAATTCAAAGTAGAGGAGCTATTCATTTACATGGTATTGTATACATTGCTGACGCACCAAAATTGGACATTGATTCAGACGAACAAGTGTCGATCAACATATATCACGTGCACTTCCAAATGAAACCGGAGACCCAGAAATGAATAAACTTTTGGAAATAGACCAATGATTCTGTCACATGGTGCTGTGTTGCACAAGCTTATGTTTGGAAGAACCCTGACTACATTAATATGTGTAAATGGTAATTATTGCTGGAATGTGAATCTTTGAGACATTCAAAAGATAAAAATATATCTACTAATACGGAATTAATGCCCCGAGTAGAAATGTTGTTGAAGTGGGAATATCAGGTTCATGATCGGAAATACACTTTTCTTTTTCTTGTTACAGATACCGATGATGATGACGTTGATGATGCTACAGTTTCAGACAGTTGGAAACCTTCTGAATCAGACACAGCTGCAAGTGACACTGATGGCACGATTATTTATGATACTGACAATGTTACAGCAACTGAAAAGCCAATACAGACCTCCTGTCATGATACAATACTTATGATGAAGGTGAAAAGGGTGACGTAACGGACATGAAAAGGGGTCGTCGTCGTCGTAAGCGTGATCCGTCATCTTGGAAAAGAAATATGAAGGCCATGAAACGTCTGCCTGGTGAAGAATATGTAGGCACTGAAAGAAGGTCAGCCTTGTAATTGTCGCAAACACTGTTTTGTCAACGTTGATGCCTGTTCATGGGCATTGATACGTAAGAACTTTTAAGACCTTCCGAATCTTACAGCTCAGAGACTTTTCTGGGAAACTGCATCAAATGCACCAAACCACAGAGACGCTATGCTAGCCCTAAGAGTAAACGTAAAGTGACATTTGAATATTCAGTTCATGTCCGTTCTGAAATTGTTCCTGTGTGTAAACAGGGGTTAGCGATCATACTTGGTGTATCAATTGCCAGAATCAACTATGTATGTGATGCCATTACGCTTCATGGAACGCCTGGTGAAGATAAACGTTGGAAACATGGAAGCAGGCCGTCAATATGTCATTGACTTTCTTGACAGGTTACCCAGATATCGTAGTCACTTAGGTCTACAGGCTACAGTTCCAAGTCCCGCACACTTACAGGTGTCTTGCAAGAAAGGGGTGCTAAAAATTCTCAATAACATGCATATCAGAAAATGATATGTTTAAATTCAATTTCCTCTTTCTCACAAATTTGTGGCTTATTGGGTTCATGCATTGGGCCACAGATATGATATAACCTATTGTGTCTCTGACTGGGGATATTGTGAAACAAAATCTCGTAAGATCATTGTGAAACAAAGTTATTGCAAGACTTTACATTTTTGTATGTATAACTATGTCATTTAGCTTTCATTTGTTAGCCAATTTCACACAAACTTTTTATTTCTGGAGACATTTTGAAGGTGTACAAAATGATATGTCCAGGAACCACATGCTCACATCATGTACACTGACCTCACGGTGTTGTGCAGTGGGTGGCCCGCTGGCCTAGAAAGATGCCCACGGAAAGGGCCTTTCTAGTGATGGGTCTCTCTGGGAGCTTGTTTGTCTGTGGGCCGAATGGCGGCCAAATAAAAGAAAACAGTACGAGCAAAAGAAGGGAGTGATACCCCCTTCGAAAATGGCCTGTATGTCATACTTGGATTAATGGATAAGCCTGTATCCGACAATCGTGATGTATTTACTTTCAATTGTTTTCAAATCGCGAAACCAACCGAAGTAACACTAAGTGTCAAAAATAACAATATTATGCCTTTGCAAATATTAATCAAATCGGTATTTCTTAATACACTTTTGACTTTCTATCCAACAGTTCGAGACCGTTGTTTCCAATTTCTAAATCTGTAAAATTTGTAAAATTCCATTCATTTCATTCTCCAATTTCTAAATGAAGTACTGGTACCATCCGAGGCATGTAAAAGAGAATCAAACTCCCCGAAAACTAGGAACACAGAATGAGCAATAGCACCATTAACTGTATCCACCTGGGACAGTCTATCACTACTGGTTTTTAAGAACTCTTTGAACAGGTTCTTTGCATCATTAAAAAAATGTATTATATTGTTCTCTGTCCGCATTAAGTTATTAATAACAACCAGCTTGTACACCCAATAATCGGGGATATATACAAGCTCCCTGGGCCAAAAAAGGACATTGTCCTTTGTTGGCACCTCAGTCACATGGATGTACGGGGGAATGATATGGCAGATGCGGCGGCTACAGCTGCCTTGTCACTGCCTGTCTCCTCATTTTCTTTACCTTATCCCGACTTAAGTCGGTTATAAGGGTTTTTATTCAACAACGATGTCAGCAAAGATAGGATGCTACAGGCGCAAACAAACATCATGCCATCAAGCCTCTCTTAGGAGACTGGCCCTCCTCCTATTGTGCCAACAGGAGGAATGAAGTTGTTTTGTGTCGCTCTCGACTTGGTCATACATATCTCACCAACTGCTATTTGCGAGAGCCTCACCAAGTCTGTGAGCACTGCCAGCTTCGCCTGACAGTGAAGCACATTCTGATTGAGTGCAAACATCTAAAACCTATAAGATCTTAGCACTACCGTGCTGGATCTTTTCACCATTTGTTTGCACCACCTTCTCTTTATGAGAAGATTGTGGTTTTTTTTTTAAAAAACAGGTCTTTATTTATTTAAATAGATTAGATATTGTTTGTTTTAAATATTTTGTTTGTTTTTAATACCACTATGTGGTGTATTACCTGTGATATTGTTTTTCAGTCATTAACTGACTTTTCCTGTGATATGGTTTGTATCGTCTTGTTTTCTGTGATATTGATAGGTGTTTTATTGTTTTAGTTTTCATTATTCTATCGTTATCTGGAGCTATATAGCCCGTTTGGTTCTGATGCTCCTTAATGCATTTCATTTGAAAAGGTTATTCTGTGTATTGCCTGTGATATTTTTTTTAGTGTTTTTTGTAAATGTTTGTTCGAGTTGATGGGTTAATGGGCTCAGTTGATTTTTTTTGTGTGAATATCCTTTGAAGATATACTCTTTCATGGTATCCTGGTAAAGGCATTTAAATTCCTCGTTGTCAGGTCGCTTAAGCTTTTTCTCCGGTCTGCACCCTGTTTATTGTTGGATGTGAAGCTGAATTTAGTAAGCATAAGTACTTCGTATTTCCCATCAATAAACTTAGTTGAGCTGTCAAGAATTTGTCTGGATTTTGTATCTTCTACTGATGTGGGAAGTTCATGTTGATAAAGCGTGCCGAAAGATTCCGTTGACCAGAATTTTACTCCGGCCTGTACTTCCATGTTGATTACCCAGTCTTTGTTGTAACTCCCATGAGACAACCCAAACCCGGTCTTTACAGCTATGGGTTCATCTGGACGTCCTTGTTGTAATTCAATCTGTCAACGAGCTTCAGGAACATTCATTCCAATTAGCAGTTTGACCTGAGATGGGTCAATATTTGGCATATTCAGGTCTTTTATATGACCCCAGGATTCGTGGACCATGGCTAGGACAATGACAGGCGTCTGACTTACTGTCCATGCCTCACTCACTGTGAGGGCTTTAGGATCAAATCCATGTGTTGGATGGACTTTGAACGTGACCTTGGACGACTGTCGTGTTGAGTTGGCAGTATTAGTTTTCAGATGAAGGTTGTGCTTTTTCTCTTTAAGACCAAGGTCTTCAAGATTATTCAATCATGGATATCTCAATAGCCGTGTGAGGATTCCGAAAGTTTGTATTCTTCTACCATTTTTTTTCCAACTACCACCACAGACACCAGCTGAAAATATACAGTTGTCCCAGACGTCTCCACTTTCTTATTCGTAGCTTCGATTGCATCCTGTTGCGGTTTATGAAGTAGGGTATGATGTCTCTTCTCGTATTCTTTACATGTTATAGATGAACAGTTTTCTGTCCTGTGGTTGGGTGTCAGACCGTTAAAGCAGAATGAATTCTCTTTTGTAACTTGGTCTGGGACAGTTTTATCGATGAAGAGCTTTTGCTTACAAAGAGGACATGGCCTTTTCGGACTGTTGATGGACTTGAAAACACCTGTATTGAGCGTTGTGATCTTGAATATTGGTATTTGTAGATTTAATTGGCTTCTTGACCTCTGACCTAATTCCATACGGGTTTAGGTCAGCAAGTTTTCTTTACCAACTAAAGTTTCTTGGCCGGGTACCAGCTTGTCAATCCAGGCACCAATAGGTTCAACTTCAGAAGAAATGTGATGGTTGTTGTTCAATTGAGGGTTGGTTTCCGATACATTGAATTTGGGGATGGAGTATTTCTGGTGGAAATATTTTAGGGTGCAATGTAGACTCATACGTGGGAATGTCTGGCACATGAGAGGTCTGGATATTATGAGAACAGCCCTCATTGGCTTTCGTTTTTAAAATGGAAGGTTTGAATTTTGGAATTGTGTCATGGCATCGGTTGCTGGTTTTGATTGACGATTGGCTAATTCTTTCTTAAACTGTGACTTCACATGAATCGGAATCTGAATCAGTTGAGCATATATAGGTGTCTTATTTATAGTTGAATGGTTCCATTTCTTTGGGTTTTTCTTTGTTTTGGTCTTCGCTCTCGTCTTGGACATACTCACCTCACCAACTGTTATTTGCTCAAGCGAGAGCCTCAACCAGTCTGTGAGCACTGCCAGATCTGCCTGACAGTGAAACACATTCTGATTGAGTGTAAGCATCTCAAACCTATAAGATCACAGCACTACCTTGCTGTTTCTTTATTTCAGCTTTTTGCGCAACATTCTCTTTATGAGAAGGTAGTGGCTTTTTTAAAACAAGCAGGTCTTTATTTTAAATTTTAAATAGATTAGTCATTGTTTGTTTTAAATATTTTGTTTGTTTTTAATACCACCATGTGGTGTATTACCTGTGATATTGTTTTTAGTGTTTTTTTGTTGTTGTCATTAAATGACTTTTTCTGTGATATGGTTTTTATCGTCTTTTTTTGTTGTCACTATGTGACCTTTATGTGATATTGATAGGTGTTTTATTGTTTTAGTTTTTTTTTTATTTTATTGTAACGTATTCTGGAGCTATATAGCCCGTTTGGTGCTGATGCTCCTTAATACATTTCATTTCATTTGTTTTGGTCTGTGGACTTTACGTGGTGTATTAAAGTTGTCTCTTAAAGATATCAATTCTTGCTTTAAGAATTTTAGTTGCTCGGCATTGTCGGATATATCAGATAAGCAAAAAGAGTTCGCATTAATTCTGCCTTTTCGCATGTCAGTGTTTTCACCATGTTTTGTAAAGTGTTTAGTGCTTCCACCTGGCCAGAGATATCACAGTTGGGGGAGCTGTTATGCATCAAAGATTTTCCTTTAGTTGTTTTCTTTTGTTTTGGCAACGTTTTGGGTTTGGATGGGTTTTTATTTCTTGTCTTTCCTTCTGAGATGTTGATAATCTGTCCACTTTCACAAGATGTTGACCAAGAATCTTCATCCGAAAATTGTGCACTTTCAATGTCCATGTGCAAAACTTGTTCAGCACAAATAAGTATATTGTTTGGTACAATCTCTGACGTATTGAAGGTTGTGGAACTGCTTGAAGATGTAGTGGCTGAATTATCAACAATAGGTTGAAAGGACTGCCTTAATTTAAAATTTAGAGATTCCGTATCCGCCGCATATGTAAGAGCTAAAATTGTGGGGAAGTGCTCTGACATGAATATGCTTTTCCCATGTCCATTTATGAGCCCACTACATTTTGTCGTGTATAGATTAAGGGTGTAATACTTTGTTCCGAGCCACACTTTGATTGTTATGGAGGTTGTTCTGTCTAGTGTGTCTTTTGAATTTTCTATTTTTCACATTTAAATCACTGTTGGCACTTAAATTTCTGTAAAATATTTCCTCTGGTTTTGTTGGTGTTAACTTTGTCTTTGTAAGATTTGCTTCTTTAGACATTGGTCTGTGTTTCAAGTGTAGGCATTATGTTTGACAGAGTCTTTATAGTGCCAGTTGATTCTGTACTTACTACTTCTATAAGAGTGTTATAAGGAAGTATATAGTCTCTTGTG